TGAAAAACTGGGCCTTCAAGAAACATGGGAAAAATGCTTTATGCCACTAGAATCAGCTCGTCGAGCTGTATCGACTGGGGTACCTCTCGTTAGCATCTGTGATTAACACTTGGGATAGTTCCCTCGTCAGGCATATTCCCCTTTAAAACGAAAGTTTTATATGAAATTACTTCAAGTATTTTACTACTAATAATAGATTAAAACATAATATCTCTAATGGTTTAGCGTATATCGTTATATCAGATACAGTACATTGTGTACAAAGTGCTGTCTGTCTTTACCTTATGTACACAAATGTGAACGTTATATCATATCTATCAATTTCTTTAAGTGATTTTCCGATAAACTCAAAGGATACCTGCTATAATATGAAACGATGTTTTTGCCAATAAGCCGGTATGATTACGATTAAAATTACCATGGGATATTTTCTGACTAGATCCATTGAATGGTTGATTATAAATATTATTTTGTTTTTTATTACAGTTTACGACAAAAAAATAGACTGAAAAGTAACCGGGTAAAATCATACACCAGAAAAAATATAACATCAAATAAATAACACTTTATTATTTGTCTGTATACACAAAGACAATAAGCAAAATTCAAAAACGTAAATATGTTAAGTTGTTAAAAATAAGTAACATAAAAATAATAATTGGCAAGAGTACATACATATGATAGTAAATAAAGATGAGTATTCGAAATATATAAAAAAATGTACAATAATGCCAGAGGCATTTTCAGATATAAAATCAGAATTTGTTGAGACTAGAAAGGCATACGTATTTTAACTAGTTGAATACTGAGAAAATTTCAGGCATTAGATAATAACTTCAACAATTAGTCACTACATAGTATGTTTAATATTGCACGATGAAATTTTAAACACATAAGACTAGTGAAACTATCGATTATCGAGGCACATCATGTGTAAAAATATAGCTTCTTTTCTTCCACAAGAACATTTCTTTTAAATACAGAAAGTAAATACAGAAAGCTACAGCTTAACACCACCAGATTGGCCAGAATAAGGGCCAGAAAAGGAGACTTCCAATTGCTAGACCAGTAAACGCACCCAGTGCCGCATCTCCATGATAATAACGTGATCGATCTACAAACACTACTGTGTGTGTTCGACCATCAGGTCCCATGTACACTTGATGAGGATATTCCCCATCATATTCACCAGGATAATTTAAAACATAATGATTTGCTGGAATTGAAAAATTAGTCGGTATCACACCAGTCTGCTGTAAACGTTGAACATGAAGTCGACGAACTTCTTCAAAAGCAAGTTGCCAGGCCATAACATCGTCTTCGCTTTCCGCAATTAATGTCCATACACTATTATCATTACTTATTATTTGAAATACTTGCTGAGTAGAAAACTCTAATGGAATCTTCAAACTTGGATCAATTTGTCCACCCGCTTTTATTTCTTTGCATTTATTCAAAAAAAATACATCATCAGCCACATCAAATTGTTTATCTGGACTATCGAAATATCGTAGTCGACCGTCATTACTAAGTGTAAACCATTGTTTTTTCCAATTTTTTAATATTTTTGTTTGACGATGTAACCAGCCAGCTTTGACAATATCACCCATTTTGAGTAAATAAATGTTATTTTCGTTAAATTATCTAAAATATTCAATTAATCTTCAAAACTTCATAAGAATTATTTTTTTGTTGTCTTATCATCCAGCAATACTTTTCGAGTTTTAAGGAAAATATAGAATTCGGAATAAAAGAAAGAGAAAAAACATTATGAATAAAATATGAAAATAGCAAACGTTTACTTAAACATTAAATGTCGCTAATTAAACATAGGAAAAAAATTGTTCACGTCTAATTCAGCGTTTTATAATCGTAGAAAATTTAGTATCATTGCTGGAATGATCTAGTGCATTCGCGATTATTCGGAGAAAAGTCATCACCGCTCCCCTATGTGTTTCTTTAATCCTGATGAGAAGTATTTCTTTCGTTTAATATGTTTTATTTAGTGAGAAAGCAAAGAGTAACGAAAAGACGCTTCACATAACAGACAGAGAAATTTTTGAACAATGTGGCAAATTTAATTTCACTTCACAGGTTTTAGTCCCCATATGGTAAAACATGGAAAATTTTCAAAAGAAATCCAAATGAAGAATGAACATTTCGCTATTGTACGATAGCCTGATGTCACTAGTGTACTGAGGACGGACGGACATTTATTTCATATGGCCCTAGACTTTACAGTCAAGGGGATAAATATCTACACATGCATACGTAGAAGGAAGCATTTCACAGAGTTGAACCCAGAGACTTATATTAAACACATTATAAAGAGATAATTGTTGGCTATTAACGTTCGTTTCACAATTTTCTCAACTATCGCTCTTTCATCGCATCGCATCTCCGTCGCTCACACTTATTCTCGTCTCATCCCTATCTATTTTTTGTCATGGCTCAATCGTCGAAACGTAAAAAGAATTTGAATGGCTCAGCTGATGCCCCAGTCAGGGATCAACATCTTTGCTCTTGCAACAATCCGGTGAATGATAATGACAATGCATCAGCATGTGACGGCTGTGAAAGATGATATCATATTGATTGTCTAAATATGTCTCGAAATTTATCAATCATCTGGAATTTTAGCTGAAGCTAAAGTTCATACAAATTGGCTCTGTCCTGCGTGTGTTATTAATCCAAGTGCTGAAAAAATTCCGACTCGTTGTTTACAAATGTTATCATCACGTGTTGACACAATTGAACATAATATAAATGGCATTAAACAACAACTAGAGCTAACAATTGAAAACCTAAAACGTATGTTACCACAAAATTTCAATTCTGACTAGCCAATACTAAAATCAAAATAATTTTCTAATCTTAATTTGCACTTCGAATGACTATCTATTGGGAGTCAAATCCGAAATTTGGTTGAACGTTCTTTCGCAAAAATGCAAATTTAAAGTTTAGCTAGGCAAATTCGAAATTTGGCTGCTACAAATATAAACCACGGTAATGAGAGAATATAAAATAAAATGAATTTTTTTATCTAAAAGTCCTTTTTCCTGCACGTGAAAAATATTTTTATGCCGATTGATAAAACTGCCCAGCTTTAGAGAGAGATTTTAGATCTACCGATCCAATCCGCCAGAAATATTATACCGGTGTCAGTACAGCTCTACTCGGTGGACGACTGAAACCAAAGTCTTACTTTCGCAAAGATCCTAATGATTTAAGGTATTTATTATTTGTTCAATATTATTGTAGAATTCTTTTGTTTTTCTGTTTTGAAATTGTTAAAGTCTAACAATATCTAACAGTTAGACCATGCAGTTTAGTCGCATAAGTAGGGATGCTACTTTATTTTTACTAATTATTACATTATCGGTAAAAGTAATAAACGTTTGTTACTTATTACCGGTAAAAGGTAATAAATCTTGTTATTTTATTACTTATTACTTCTTTATGTAATAATTTTTCATCATTTTACTTATCACTTTTTGTTACTTTTCGTCTTATTAGTAATAAGTAAAGTAATAAAAGATCATTACTTGAAAAAAGTAATTAGTAATAAAGTAATAAGATTTATTGCCATTGCGGATGAAAAGTTTCAGAATATCCCGCTCATTCTTGTGCTTTTCGTCTCATTTTACCCCCTATTTTTTCACATTGGATATCATCTTGAGCTAATATTCAGCGGACAAAATCACTGAAAAGTGGTGTTGGAGGAGAACAGAGGGGAACAAGAAATAATCTTTCTCCTCCTCACTCCAATGGTGAGTGTGCCATAAAACGATTTATGCATTTCGTCTTCTCACTTTGAGCCATTGGGTTCGTAAAATGTGAAATATTTTCATTCCCTTTTCTGAAGGAGAGGGTTTTACGGCGGATAAGCTGAAATTTTTGCATTGCCGGTTGTCCTAACCAATCAGAAAACAGTTTCGAATTTTGGCAACATGTAATGAAAGGTTGGGGAAATGCGAAATGTGAGCAGAAAGAATTGACGATAGCCCTGTATATGGTTCGATAGAGCATGTCGAACTGTTCAAGACAACGTGATTTACAAGGCTCTTTTAAGCCTCTGTCCTGGAGAAAAAGGTTGCAAAAACATGCTTTTTTTGCGGAGGACAGTTTTCAGTAAGAAGTCCAAGCCTTCGGAATACAGGAAAGCATTGATCAAAAGCAATGAAAATTTGCATTTCGGGATTACTCGTCATGCCCTACTAGATGGCATAACTCGTTTGGAGGTTCAAAATTTTTCGGCAACGTACTAGTCTCTTTTTGGGTGGTCTATTCATGGACTCTCTCTTACAATCTCAACTCACCTGATGAGCAACACAGTATGAAAATCCTCAAATATCGGTTCAATGATTGAAAAAAAGCTGTACGAGGAATTGTTCATGGAGACTTTGATTTTCGACTTACGGTAGGAGATAAATGATTGGTTTCTGAAACGGAGGTTGTACTACCGCCGGACTATTCAAACAACTTAAGAAGGAAATGGATGTCCAGACTGATGGACAAAAAAATGAATATTAGACCGTATTCAGTAATCTCTCACATTAAAGGCCACAAAGATTTGCAGCCACTATTTTTACGACGAACCTACACGGCTGTTGCGGGACTTCTATTGCTTTTAAGAGAAGACGCAAACCAATCCATTGCGAAGAAATGAGTTAATAATTATTCATGTGTTTGCTCGCAATCAATAATCCTTGGCAAAAAGAAACAATAGCTACGTTATTTTGTGAGAGACAAATGCAAACTACTTTTGCGAGGCTTCGATAAATTTGATCGGAGAGAATCTGGTGGGTGGGTGAGGGTGAGGGTAAGTATAGCAACCATGATCTAGATTTCGACCTTGCTGAAGGGTCTTGTTAGATGGTTTTCACTCTGCTGTAGCTGTTCGAAATGCTTCAATTACAAGAAAGAATGATAAACAAGCCTTAATCGTCTATCGGTAGTGAGGCATCGATTTTTGGTATCGATGGATCGGAAGATGAAATTTTTCAGAAAGAATGAATTGTTATTTTACTGAATAATTGGAGACTAGTGGGAAATGATTCTAAGCGGTTTTTCAGTTGCAGGAATCAAAATTCTGATCGCAGTCCGAACACAAAGTTCTGAGAATAGTGCATCTAGAATGAGAAAGGTTAGATATATTGTCAGCATTTAGCAGCCTAGGAGTCAGTGCACGAGAGATACGACCGATCTGTGGAGAGGCTGCGCAATGAAGTTCTCAGATTCGTCTGAAACCTATCCTATCTTGTAGCCCATCTTCTTTTACCTAGGTAGCCAAATTTTCAGACCTCTAGGTCCTTATTTGACAGCACCACGAATTTTCTCCCGAGAGCCCTATTGACCGACAATCAACGCTACTTTTTAAGTAAAAATTAAGTTTCTCCTGAAAACCTTGTCCTATAAGGCTGAAAATTTCACCGTGTACGTAACTTGACATGCTCTATCTTGTTGCATACTCAAAATCTCGAAATTTATTTTTTCTGGTATGATGTGTGCTCGAGTAGCCTCATTTTTGGTTTTGAGGGTTCTGGAGCTTGGCCCTATAGAAATGGCTCAAACTTTGTTTCTACATAGCACTAGACCTAATCTATGTAGCAAAAAAAGTGAAAGTTTGGAACTCTCAAAGAAATGTCAGAAAATCGTCTCGAACGTTTTCGACATTTTTGCTCACTTTTGTGCATTTTCGTCCTGCGAAGAGGCGCTATTTGCTCAGCATTTCACCCTGTTTGTGTACCAGTGTGTAATCCTGCAATTGCAAGGCTAACACCAGCACTAATTCATGTCACTGAAGGCAACGGTTCACTTTCAATCTCGACGAATTCATCGCACATGAGACCTTGGAACGAGTCTAAATATTCTCGTCGATTTCGATCACTTCTCTCAGCTGAAATTTCAGCAAGCTACGCGACTGAAAGGAAAGAGTCATTCTAAAGTAGTTTTCTCCAAAAGAAGGACAGCATTTTTCATAAAATTCGGCCTAAATTGAAAACACGTTCCCTGCAGCATGAAAATTTTACAGCTTGCTCATAGCGTACACGCGAAAATGTGCCGACACTCTACCCAACGAAAAACGTTGTTTCTCGCGGAAAATGGTCATTTTTCTCATTCAGGAGGTAGTTCGCACTTCTCTGTATCAAAGACGTTGGATTCTCAAAACGTAATACAGATTCGAACTCAGTATGGCAAACGGTATAGTCTAAGATGCGACGTATGCAAAGAAATTGATACTACGTTTTTTATGTCCAATTTGTGGGGGTAAAAAATCATCTTTTTCTTCATATACAATATCTGATACGTGTGTATACAGTCCCCTATACTAACTTCGAATCTCTCTCTCGTTTTAGACGTCGTATGTATTTTAAGACAGAAACTGAGACATACTTGGTGAGTGAGGATAAAATCTTTCTGAAGGGACAAAAATAATATTTTCGGTTTGGAAAAGTTTCTGTACATGTCCGCTAATAGCTTTTGCGATAATCTTTCCAACGCTCTATGAGTGATTGTTATTGTGACAAAGTTGACCATAGACTCAGATCACAAGGTACTGTTAAAGAGTACATATTCATATCACCGATAAAAAAAAATTAAAGTTCATTTAGAGTTAAAGAAAAGTGCTTTTTCGTATTCAGCACACTTGATAACCTGAAAAATTTTCTGTTTTTAGCGAGAGGTACCGCCAAAAAGTTAAGAAAAATTTTTAAACAAATTGACGCAGAAAAATCCCCATGGTAAAATTATACAATTTCGAAAATTTTTCTTAACTTTTTGGCGATACCCCTGGGTAAAAACAGAAATTTTCCAGGTTATCAAGTGTGCTGAATACGAAAAAGCACTTTTCTTTAACTCTAAATGAACTTTAATTTTTTATCGGTGATATGTTACGCGAAGGAAAAGGAGCGTTTCCATGTAAAACGATGATAAACAAACTCTGCAGCGACTCATTTGTCTTTAAATTTACAATCTTGGAGAATTTCAAGTAGCTCGGAAAAAACGACTTCAGTTCCTCATCGCAAACTGCCCAAGCAGCTATCAACATCGTCCGTCCATACACTCAGTCTTCTTGAACTCATATATAAATTTGATTTATTCATCCAGTCATTTTTGTATCCTTTTTTGGTTCAGATATCTTATCTGATTTGGCATAAAAGTCTGTATCGAAGGATGCACTTCTTGCTGTGGGAATGTTTAGCTCAACTATTCGAAAGATTTGCTTTTGGCTGACCTCACTGTCTACCATAAAGACTCAGCTGGACATCTATTGAAATTAACGATAGACTAGAGCTAGAAGGTCAAAATTCGCAATTGATATTTTAGAAGATGGTCTGGACGCGTGGTGATAGCTCCATGTCGATTGGATACTGTTTTCAAAAGACAGGACGACTCGGTCAGCTAACGGTCACCCTTTGATGAAGAAAGTTCGAATTTTTTTTTCTGCTACACAAAGGTTCAACATGCATCGCCTAACACAGTTTTTCCCGCTAATTACGAATCTGCTAAAGAAAACAAGTCATGTTCACACTTTCGAGTTGCACATCGAAATTAAGAAAATTCTATGCTATAAATTTGATTTTTGAACCGCTCTATCTTTCTAAAGGATCTTCTAAACTACACCATCGAGTAGAGAAAGAAATTGTCTACAAAAATCATTCTTTCCTTTTCTGTTTGAGTGAAAGGTCGAAAGAAAATGTTACCTATTGGCTTAATGTATGTAACTCTGCTATGGTAGTGAAGTTTTATTATAGAACAACATGCAAAAAAACCGTGATGAATATGCATTTTGTTCGAGATTTTCACTGAAGTAATGCCCATGTAACTTATTGTTAACACTGAAAAAAGGCGTGTAAAACATCGAAACGCCTTCTCCTGTTTATTTAATAAATAAATAGAAGAAATTCAATAAGAAGTAAAAGCTCAAAACGATTATTCAGAAATTCTGCACATATTACAGATTTTGTTTAAAATATTTTGCTTCATTATTACATCACTTTTATGCGTAGCTAACAATATAGAGATCTCTTAAACTTTTTTGCTGAAATACTCGATAAAACAAACTATAGGCTCGTAATGAGAGATACTCTGTTAGAAGAAGAATAAACTAGTTTTTTGATAAAAATTTCGACTGCGAACAAAATCCCATTTCAGAGCAACATGGATGAACGAAAATATCAGAAGTAGTCACTTTCAAATTTGTTCGAGCTGCTTTTGTCTATTGTGTAGGAGCACTAGTACTATGAACAGAGGGTTCTTTTTAAGAAAATGTAATAACATCGTTTCTGAACACTCTGGACGGGATGTCGTAGACTGCTACTAAGAAACGGAAGAAATGGGAAAATATAAGGTGCCGCTAACTTAAAACTCGAGCACTATTTTATTTTCCTCTTATTCATACATCATTCGATACAGCTCGACGTGCTGATTAAGACTAACTAGGTTTTAGCTTTGAAAATGCGGCTTTTGAAAAAATTGGAAAATACTAAAAGGATCTTACATCTTGGAAATCCGTGCTACTAAGAAAAGTATCAAAAGTTTTGTTCTCTTTCCTTTTGAAGTTCTCTGACTTATTTTATCTGATCCTTCGCATGAAGTTCACTCTAGAAATATTATTTAAAGCTTGATTTGATCTCACGAGTAATAAAAAGTTCATAATCAAGAACATCTTAACGGGCGTCAACAAAATTTTGCAAACCTGTCTGGTTTGTTCTAGTAAGGGATAGTACCTTGATTTACACCACATTCAACTCGCCTTTTCACGGGCAACAAAAGCATGATTCCTCTGTATTGGTGAGAAATTTGACCTTTTCTAAACCCGAGGCGAAAAAGTCAGAATTCTGCTCCTATATTCTCTGTCACAACTCAACGTTTATGCAATGAAAATATCACAACCGGAATCACAATCAAAAACTGAGTCGACTGGTATGTCCCTAGTCGTCAATTCTTATATAAGAATTGGACGGGAATCTGGTAAGGATCTTGCCAGCTTCTTGTCTGCTTTTCCTAAGAATCTTATCCGATTCTTATCAGATTCGTATATAAGAAGTGGCACGA